CAAACTCAAAACCCGCAAACTCGCAACCCGCATGCGAGTTCCAGTGTGGGGCGGCCGTAAGTCAGGATTCAGAAAGAGATTGAGCTACAGTGCCGCCGCGTGGGACGTTTACCTGTAATACCTTTTGGTTCAGACCTGCACGAGATTAGTTTAACAGGCATCGTGTTCCATTTTTCGAGACTAGTCAAATGAACTAGAATTTGACATTAAAGGGCATTTTGAGAATTTGACCTAAGGTGAAGGTCATCACCTAGCCGGGAAAGGTCATATTACATATTAGTTGATCCGTATTGTCGAGAAGGAAAATAATTATATAATGAGGCGTTTCATTGCTCTACCATATCTCTATCAAAAGTTATTGTCCAAAACCTACTGGAGACCTTTCATGACCTGAGATGACCTCAGTAACATAAAAGTGGTCACATCACGAGTGAAATTTTCCGATGAAATGTGTCATATATACCTGTATCCCGATGTCTGAGGGTGTTTTCGTTCAGAAGGAGAGCATTTCCATTTTCTCCCATTGAACTGCGCCGTGCTGGGGGGGGGGGGCGTTTTTACGCCCTTCCCCTTAGGGTTTTCGCGAATATCTCAAAAACGGCGTCGCCAAGCGCCATCGTTTTTGGTACGCATGTTTATACATCTTTTCCGCACAATTTGAGAAAAGTTCAGACCCGGGTCGTTCAAGGTCAGGTCACCAGGTCACGTCAAGTGACCTTACCTCAGAAAACGTTTAAAGACTCGCGATAGCTACACCGACTGAACGATCACTTTTGAAACTTTCAGAGATTAACCCGCGACCTGGTGGGGGGGGGGGCTATTTTTTGGCCCCCCCTCCAGACTTTTCGATATATCTCCAGAACCGCTGCGCCGATCGTCACCAAACTTTTAGTACCCTCCCGGACATCAATTTTACATATGGTGACCAAAAATTTTTCCAAAGGCTATGATAGGTTGGCCGGAAATGACGTCAGAGTGACGTCATGTTCTGCCGTTTTCGACCCAAAAAGGGTTTCGCGGGAAGAGCTGTCAGGCCTATAGCTTTGCAAATACAGAAAAATGATAAGGACATAAAAGCTGTAGAATTGACAGGGCTACAAAACTGCTATCTCGGATTTTTGAAATTTTTGGATTTTGACCCCCAAAAATCAAAAAATATTTTTTTTGGATATAATGATCGAAAAATCCAAAAAGTTTTTTGAATTTCGCAAAAACCGGAATATATGTGATATTCCTTACCGCCTTCCATCCACATACCAAATTTGAGATTGATGCCTTTTTTTGGCGAAGTTATAGCGAAAAAACTGTTCAAAATTGATGACGTCAAATTTTCAAACTCAATTTTTAGCAATTCTAGATCCCGTAGCGCAGAAAAAAGACCACCATTAGACTCCCCGTGACGAGCTGCATCGAATCAATACCCATTTTATGCAAAACTATCAACTTTAAAATTTGACCTTTTTTGGCCTGACCTTGACCTGACCTTGACCTGAACTTCACCAGAAAGTAACCTAAGCCGTACCTGATAGTCTTATAACCAACACCATTGAGTTGGAAATGAAAAATTGGCCATAAAACATGCATCACACAACCTTAGTAAAGTTGGGCTCATGTGACTTGACCTGTGACCCTTGGTGATGTAGCGCGGGAGAATGATAGAAAAGTGGGAAAAGTAATAAAGTAAGTTGAAGTGTGAAATTATAGTTAGAAATAAAGAAAACCGCCACCTTTCGTCAGTACTCCTTCGATAGACGGTCAAAGAGGAAAATAAGAAGAAATAATAGAGGAAGAGTAGGGATAGAGTAAAGATAGAAAATGATGAAAGTCCTCCCTTGTAGACAATATTGCATCGGGTGATGGTCGATGCTTAATGTTATTTGAGGCTGGTCATCCTGGTATATTGAATCGGCTTTGCGAGGTGGAATGACATATTAATGCTTAAATTCCTTATGCCCTCGAGTGTCATTTTATCTGATCATTCCGACTGAGTTCAGCGCAACTCCTACTGGTCCTTAACCTAAGAGTCGTCCATCTCCATTCATTGTACCCCTTTCATGTCATACATACTCCTATTGTTCATTTGCGCTGCCCCTAAAGTCTCCCTCCAGTAGTGTCGGTGACCGAAATAAAAGATTGACCCCCAGGCGGGATAAATGTCCATTAAATTGCATACACTTGCGCTAACAGGGTCTTAAGTGTCGTCCTCTGTCTGCTATCCGCCATCTAACAAAGAAGCTAAATAAAAACTCACCGGAGGCTACCCTGCTGTCCCATCCCGGGCCTTCCTCAATTTAGGGCCCGTCGGCCTGCCGAGTTACCACCAACACCACAACATACCCTGTACCACGTCACTCGACGTCACCACATCTCGGCCTAACTTTTACGGGGGAGCCCGTCGACTCCGAGGACTTAACGCTGCGTACCCCGCTGGCTACGACTTACCGGCCTCACTAACTTTTCCAGGGGCCACCACCCACTGACAAACCTACCGACGTCACTACCTCACTACACTACGCTCACTACGCTACCGGCCCCTACTCTCGGTCGAAATAAGACGTGCAGACATTGTTGACACCGCCCTGACAATACAGACCTCTCGCTGTACGCACTCAACTGTACAAAAGCCATGTTGGTAGAAATATCGACATAGAAGCCGGGCACACAAGCCGTCTAGCCTCGAAAAAAAAACAATTGGCCGTACGATAATAAAAAACATGGAAACTTCCCGCCTCAACCTACTCTCGACTCCCTTACATTTCCTGAGGAATTCCTACCCATCGCATCAATAACACCTCGCCTCGGACTACCTGCCCTATTCCTACTTCGCACTCGTATCCCTTTCCTTACGTCCCACTGTATAATTATAATAGCGTAAAGCAACGGTCTTAACTCGTTCCCCGGAAATTACTTCGTAAAATTATATCCTCTTCTCTCACCCTAAACAACTAGCGTTCTTAACTTACAAAATACAGCGTGGTCACGGCTAGCACTCACAAGCTTAGCTGCTCGTTATCATTCCTATCTTGATCTTACTCAACCCATACTTTCCTTATTCAACGGAAATCAACGACTATTAATGGGAGTACTGATGGATAATATATTTATTACCGGGGGTCTAAATTGGGGCTCTCCTTCGGACAGGGTACGGCGAGAACTGATCACCAGTAACTCGACGGGGCTTTAGGATGAGCGCATGGACGGGGTGCGACAAGAACTGATCACCAGTAACTCGTCGGGGCTTAGAATGAGCGTTTGGACGGGTACGACAAGAACTGATCACCAGTAACTCATCGGGGCTTAGAATGAGCGTTTGGACAGGTACGACAAGAACTGATCACCAGTAACTCGTCGGGGCTTAGGATGAGCGTTTGGACGGGTTACGACAAGAACTGATCACCAGTAACTCATCGGGGCTTAGGATGAGCGTTTGGACGGGTACGACAAGAACTGATCACCAGTAACTCGTCGGGGCTTAGGATGAGCGAATGGACGGGGTACGACAAGAACTGATCACCAGTAACTCGTCGGGGCTTTAGGATGAGCGTATGGACGGGTATACGGCAAGAACTGATCACCAGTAACTCGTCGGGGCTTAGGATGAGCGTTTGGACGGGTTACGACAAGAACTGATCACCAGTAACTCATCGGGGCTTAGGATGAGCGTTTGGACGGGTACGACAAGAACTGATCACCAGTAACTCGTCGGGGCTTAGGATGAGCGAATGGAAGGTGTACGACAAGAACTGATCACCAGTAACTCGTCGGGGCTTAGGATGAGCGTTTGGACGGGTACGACAAGAACTGATCACCAGTAACTCGTCGGGGCTTAGGATGAGCGAATGGAAGGTGTACGACAAGAACTGATCACCAGTAACTCGTCGGGGCTTAGGATGAGCGTTTGGACGGGGTACGACAAGAACTGATCACCAGTAACTCGTCGGGGCGTAGGATGAGCGTATGGACGGGTTACGACGAGAACTGATCACCAGTAACTCGTCGGGGCTTTAGGATGGGCGTATGAAAGGAATGCAGGACATATTTTAGTCGTTGATCCCATAAACAAACGAACGGATGTACATCCTGATATCTTTAATCCTATTTCCGGAATCCTATACTGATCTTTATGTACTTGAGCAGACCTTCGGAAAATTTACAGAAAGCCTTCTACTGACTTCGGAACACCTTAACATTACAATGAAAGAAAATCACTCACCTTTCTGGAACTTCTCCGGGCCAGCTCCTCAGCCTCCAACCAGTGCGCGGATGAGTCAGTGTTCGCAGCTACCGTCTTTCTCTGCTGCCGCCCATAATTCCCCCTGTCCCGATCGTCCCGATTTACCCTCGTGTTCTCCCGCTCTTTCCGTCCCTTCATTTCGTACTGATAACTTCCTACCCTTTCCCGAAATTTCCCTCAAGACTCTTTATGAAAATAACAGATTGATATATTTGTGGAGCGAAGCAAAGCGAGCAAGCGTTAACAATAAAACAGTAAAGAAATGGTACGCCTCTCTGCCAGCGACGATAAGTCAATAGTGAACATTTTCCTTTACAACTGATATCATACTCTGGTTTGGTAATTGTTACCTAACATTTAATCATTCGAAGATTTCCTGACCAACAAAGCTAAACAGATCTTATCTTATTACACGTTCCGGAAACTGAGCCAGGTTCAATCATTGGAAACAAAATATTACCTACGCTGTATGTGCCAGCTTTCTCGCCAACCCACTAAGGTCCTGATTCCTACGAAAAGTCCTGCCTTTTCCGCAGCTTCTATCATGGAGTAAATCGTTTTCCAAATTACAACGCATTTTCCGAATAATAATCAATCAGGTAAAATCTACACACAATATTCCTAAATAAGCTTTGGTAACCCGCGTCCAGCCTGTACGGTATTGAAATTTAACTGTATTCGTTTCGTTGTTAATTCATAATATAAATTTCTTAAACCCAGTTTAATTTACCCCACCCAGCCGTCAGGATAATTTCAGGGAACTTACATGGTGGGATCGGGCGTGTGTCACTCAGCCGGAGTCCCCCAGGGATCGGGCGTGTGTCACTCGGCCGGAGTCCCCCCAGGGATCTGTCTGTCAGCCTCCGGCGGCGAGCGCTCCTCTGCCGCTCTGATGCGTCATTACCAACTCTTCTCTGATTGGTCCGCTCCAAGGGTACCGTCTGGGATGCAATTTATGTCTTGAAATTTTACCGGTTTCTTGAAGTTCTCTTGTATATCAGCTACGATTTGACGTCCAGTGTTTGATGTAACCTTTTACTTGCGTGTTTTCAACGTCCCCTTCCATTGCTGATGGATTTTGCGACTTCAGTCCTGTGCTGTCCCCTGGTGACCATTTGGGGCTCTTCGGGGAGGGGTTGATGACGTACCCTCGCGGCTCCGCCCCTGGGTCGTTGGAGATAGTCACTCGGCTCGGATGAGGCTGCTGACTCTGCGTCGACGGCGGCCGTTGCTCGGTGCTGACTCGGTTGGGATGAGTCGCAGAGAGGGCAGGCATGTGGCGATGACAGCGGTGAGCGGACTGTGGTCATTGCGCCACAGCGGCTCATTCGGGGCTGTGATGTGCCTCTGTCGCTCATCCTGCGGGGTTACTGAGGACGGTAGTCCGTTCGACGAGAATTTGCTGACGCTACGGCGGCGGCGGCCGACCGGCTCTCTGTCCCGACGGCGCTGACACTGGTGGGGATGAGGTGTTGGGATGGAAGGCTTGTGACCAGTGCGCCACGGTATGATGACTGCTGCTACTGAGTATGGGGAGGGGAGTATGGCGGGCGGCTGGGTCCCGATCTGGAAAATGTTAAGACGTCCCAAGATGTAGCCTTGCTACAGTGACCTGACCTGTGACGTGACCTGGTATTGTCAGTGACCTCTAATAGCAACATATCTACCAGGCAACTGACGCCCTATCGCTGATTCTCGACAAAATGCGTTTTTCTCGGTGTTATAGCGCATTCCCTAGAAGACCCGTGAACGGTGAAACATTTCATCTTTGACCTGACCTGTGACGTCATCGGTGACCCCGAGGTCAATGAAATTTGGTTTCCTTCGACAAATTTGACAGGCCTTTCGAACGCCGTTTGAATTTTGCGGATCCGTCCAGTAGTTTCGGAGATACGAGGGGGGGGGGCAAAGAATAGCCCCCCCCCCCACCAGGTCGCGTTATAAACAGACCCCACCAGGGTGCGGGTTATAAGACTAACAATATGTATAAGATGTTTATCTCCGACTTTTGATATCTGTGACCTAAGGTCAGGTCAATTTTGCGACCTCTCCATTACAAGTCAATGGGAGAAACTATGAAATGCGCCTCTTTTGGACGAATGTTGTTCAATGCCCTCTCAAACATCGGTTCATAGGTAAACAAAACACACTGAATAGGAAAAATGCACCAGTGAGTTGTGACTCTTCTGTATGCTCCTGAGGTCATCTCAGACCATGAACGGTCACCAACAGTTTTTTGGCTATAACTTATAGCCAAAAAGTTATAGCCAAAAAACTGTTGGTGATGGTGACCGTTCATGGCCTGAGATGACCTCAGGAGCATACAGAAGAGTCAATCAAAATATGCTAGAGCGGTGAAACTACGTCAGATGTGTTCAGCTCGACGATACGGATCGACTCATGATATGCAGCATGACCCTTTCCGGTCAGGTGATGACCTTGACCTGAGGTCAAATTTTTAAAATGCATTTCAATGTCAACGTATAGTTCTTTCGACGCGTCTCGGCAAGAGGAACACGATGCTGGCAAAATAAATCTCGTCACTGTCTTGAGGCAAACGGTATTGCAGAAAACGTTTTTCTTAAAAACAGATATTTTAAGTTTTTCCATCGGGAGTTTTGCCATCGGGAGTTTTGCCATCGGGAGGCTAAGCCGTGGACGCGGGGTCAATTCTGAGGGCAATAATCAGACAGGTCTGTAAAACGGCTATCGAATGGGCTTTTCCGCGGCGCTGTAGCTCTATTGGTTCCCGATTTATCCATTGGCAGTTTCCAAAATTGTTTAAATGGACTAAATTTGACCTTTTGATGACCTCTGGCGACCTGACCTTTGACCTGACCTGAAAACTAAACAAAGTGTTTCCGTCATTATTTTGACGCTCTTTCGATTGCCGCTTACCGCGTGTCGCTACGTGGCCCAGGAGCCAAGTTAAAGTGGGTCGCGTGAAAACGCCCCCCCCCCCCCAGCATGACACGGAAAACACAGGCCACCAGCACGGCGCGGTTTAACTAATAGGTAATGGAGAGGTCGCAAAATTGACCTGTCCCTCAATGTAGATATTTTGTCTGGGGATTACGCAAGGCGAATGTTCGGTGAGATCAGCAGGTATCTATGGCGCTTATTCAAAGTCGATCATGCACACTCACATCATCAAAGGTCGTCTTGTATACTAGGTACAGTCCACAGCAGAAGTAATGTGTGGTTTCAGTCATGGGTATGTTCTGCTTCTGAAGCCTAGGAACGATTAACCAGACTGCAACGAGACTTTAAATGTAGCTTACATGTATTTTCACCCTTGCTGCTACAACTTTATCTATTGACGTCTTCTTTTCAATCAGTCTGCATTTAAAAATCGTCGGTCAAAGCCATCCGTTGATATTGGTAAAACCACACATTACTTTAGCGGTGGGCTGTACGTCGGCCGAGGACATCCTTTACCTTAGTGCCACTATATGGGACAGTCTCACGCCTCATCCATCTGGCACTCATGCAGTCACCCCTGTCCACAAGTAGGAGGGGCTGCGCGCACTATAGAATTTAAGGTTATTTGTGGAGAAAAAATCCAGAACGTATGTAAACGTTCAGTCGCCTCTGACTGCAGTCGCTGCTAGTATGACAATCAGTTGGGATCTCATGGTGGATCTTATGGTCTGAAATGTTCAAGTCTTTCCTGGATTCCAATTTCGGCAATAAGTCGCAGCGTGAATCCTTCATACTACGTGCGGTCTTAGATTCTAACCCATTAGCGCTCAGTGTCCTCATATGAGGACACCCGAAACAGCCAGACGTGGCGCACACCGGGTATATGTTAGACGGCTTAGAACCTCGCCAACGTGTCGAGAAGGTCTTTGTCGACCACCTGGGTCCCGCTATGTTTGTTTCCCTTCACCCTCTTGTATTTGATAAGCGCTTAAATTTAGCGATTTTCAGACATTGAGACCCTCGTCGGCTTATTTGGCTTCCATTCAACTGTGAACATAGTTACGTCCAAATTGACTCCACTCATTGCTCAACGGATTATGTTATACACATATAATCGTATTCTCATCGGCCATTTCTAGAATTCTGGCGATCTGGAGAGCGCCAAATTTAGATGTCATCAAATGAAGACACTTGCACTGGGCGGAACGGGGTAGCGGCGGGACGGCCGGCCGCCGCGGCCGCCGAGGTGTGGCAGGGCGGGCGGCGGTAAGGGGACCGCCGGGAATGCGAGGGGGTGACGCTATGGGGAGACCCCTGGGGTGTTCAGGGTGGGGTGGCAGTGAGGGGAGACTGGGAGGGGGGGGGGCGGAAGTGAGCCCTGAGACGCTAGCGTCAGTTTCCACCCGTGCGTTGGACTGCGAGCTGAGTGTGTGCGACCTTAGAGATAAGATACGCTTTTAGATACGTTTTATTTTACGCGGGAGTGTGGTCGATCTGCAATCGCCATGCGTCGTGAAAAAGCGATTACCGTAAAAGAGGCCTTGGAGATGCTTGAGAGAGATGATTTCTCGGACAGTGACAGTGAAGTAGTGGATATCGTGGCGCTGCCACCGCCTACTGTTGATGAGCTGACAGATGAAGAGGAGGAAGCTGACGACAGACATGTGCTTGGATCCGGAAAAATGGATCTGAGATCCGATCCCATGGATCCCGATCCGAGATCCATTCAGATCATAGATCCAGCCCCTCAATTTTGTCGAGAGATCTACTGGGATCATAGATCTGACCCTTCAATTTTGTCGCTAGATCCACTCGGATCATAGATCTGGCTCCTCAATTTTGTCGTGAGATCCATTGGGATCATAGCTCATAGGTGTTCAAAATGTTAACAAATTTCTTTCATAAGAAGTTATGAATACTGTCGCCAGAGGCTAGTAGCTTAGGAACCTGCACATATTTTTTGTTTTATGATTCATGATGGACATATTTTTCCTGAGGGTCACGTGAGGTCATTTCGGACTCCTGACCTCGCCATCATGAGGTCGCCATCATACCGGGGATCAATTGCGAGGGTCAAAATGATACCAGCCTTAGGAATAAAGAGAAGGCAGCAATTAACGAAGCATACTGCGAAATAATAGGATAAGCAAACGGCTTCAAGCACCAATAGGCAATAACTTCATTAAATTATTATATCCTAGCAAAAAGGATGCATAGCAACATGGCGTTTCGGTAGATAGAGCTGATAAAGAGGAGGCAACAATTAATTAACGTAGCAAAATGCGAAATAATAGGACAAATAAACGGCTTCAAACACCAATAACTTCATTGAATGACTATATCCTGGCATAAACATGGCATAGCAACATAGCTTGTTGAAAGCGCCTTCGATTGAATCCAAGAACAGATCTATGCGACTAATGTGAGGGGAGATATGTAAGATAAAACATTTTTATGTTGTCATTTTAATACGTTCTTTCAGCGCCGGCCGCCCGCCCGCCGCCGCCCGCAGTCGACGCTAGCGCACCCTGTGGCCGGCCGGCGAAACGGGACAAAGACAACGGGATCAGCCCGGGTGACCTACGCCCGAATCGCCTATTCCATCGAATGTCTACGCCCGGGTGACCTACGCCCGGCTGACCTACGCCCGAATCGCCTACTCCATCGAATGTCTACGCCCGGGTGACCTACGCCCGGCTGACCTACGCCCGAATAGCCTACTCCATCGAATGTCTACGCCCGGCTGACCTACGCCCGGCTAACCTACGCCCGAATCGCCTACTCCATCGAATGTCTACGCCCGGGTGACCTACGCCCGGCTGACCTACGCCCGAATCGCCTACTCCATCGAATGTCTACGCCCGGGTGACCTACGCCCGGCTGACCTACGCCCGAATCGCCTACTCCATCGAATGTCTACGCCCGGGTGACCTACGCCCGGCTGACCTACACCCGAATCGCCTACTCCATCGAATGTCTACGCCCGGGTGACCTACGCCCGGCTGACCTACGCCCGAATCGCCTATTCCATCGAATGTCTACTAGCGTACGGCCTGCCCGTGTTCGTGGAGCAGTCCCTGCTGTATTATCGAGTAAGGATTTACCCATTCACTACGCCGGCTGACTGGCGGCCCCATCCTTTGTTTGCTCTGTTGTCGTCCGTCGCCCGTCGCGGCGGTGCCCAGGCCCGGGGGTCGCCTGGCGCAGCGGGGGGTAGCGTCCCGCCCCGCGGCCCCTGGCGCGGCGAGAGGTAACATGCCG